CAGGACTGAACCAGGACTAAACCAGGACTAAACCAGGACTGAAACCAGGACTGAACCAGGACTAAACCAGGACTGAACCAGGACTAAACCAGGACTAAACCAGGACTAAACCAGGACTAAACCAGGACTGAAACCAGGACTAAACCAGGACTAAACCAGGACTAAACCAGGACTAAACCAGGACTGAACCAGGACTAAACCAGGACTAAACCAGGACTGAACCAGGACTAAAACCAGGACTGAACCAGGACTAAACCAGGACTGAAACCAGGACTAAACCAGGACTAAACCAGGACTGAACCAGGACTAAACCAGGACTGAACCAGGACTGAACCAGGACTGAACCAGGACTAAACCAGGACTAAACCAGGACTAAACCAGGACTAAACCAGGACTGAACCAGGACTGAACCAGGACCAGGAACTGAAACCAGGACTAAACCAGGACTAAACCAGGACTAAACCAGGACTGATCCCAGCATCGCAATTTAAGTCACGTAAATAGGAAACAGCCATCATCCATTTAAAATAAATAAATAAATAAAATCATTATCTGTGTTTTTTTCATTTTGTTTTGGAGAAAAACATTGAAGAATTTTTTTTAAAATTTTTTTTTTCATTTTCTTATTTTTGATTTAATTTTGCAAAAGTAATTAACAAACGACACACAGATTTCCAGGGTGTAAAGTTTGATCATCGTGTGAAACAGAATCAAACCCGCGACTCGACGGAGGAGGTCAGAGGTCAGAGGTCAGAGGTTTGGTTTTATTGAATCTGTAAAACTGTAAACGAAAAAACATAAAGTCTCTCATTTCGACAGGGGCAGTGTGGATCGATGGACGTCCCTGTCGGTTTAGGCTGCGGGAGCTCAAATCGACGGTTCTGACGATCTGCTGTGGCGTTTTAGAAACTCTGGAACTGTGAGCTGTGGGTCTTTGTTCCGGCGCTGGTCCTGGGGGGGGGTGAGGGGCGGGGGTAGGTGGTGGCGCCGTTGGGGGGGTAGTGTGTGTGTGTGTGTGTGTGTGTGTGGGGGGGGGGGGGGTAGTGGACTTTGCAGAGGTTAATTCGAGGCGTATCTGGGATCTGCGCTCCGGCCCGAGTCCGTGTGGTCCGATAACGCCGCACATATTCATCATAGAAGAAGAAGAAGAAGAAGAAGAAGAAGAAGAGGAGGAGGAGGAGGAGGAGGAGGAGGAGGAGTACAGTGCAGAATCACAGCGACGCAGATAAGGCGCTAATGCTAGCCCCTCCATGTAAACCCATTACTCCTGAGTGTCACGGGCCGCAGGATCCGCCACACCGACGAAAGAGAGAGAACAGAGAAGAGAGAGAGAGAGAGAGAGAGAGAGAGAGAGAGGGAGGGAGGGAGGAGGAGCTAATACAAGACTCTCCATGTTCTCCCATTAGTCCTGAGTGTCAAAACACAAACGACCAGATCTGCAACACCAGACGAGAGAGAGAAGAAAGGAGAGAGGAGAGAGAGAAGAAAGAAAAGGAGAGAGGGAGAGAGAGAGTGAAGGAGGACAGAGTGGGAGAAAGAGCAGAGGGAGGGGGTCAAATAAGAGGAGGAGGAGATGGTGAAGGAAAGAGATGTGGAGAGAGAGATGGAGGAGATGGAGGAGGGAGGGAGGAGGGAGGAGATAATACGGTCGTTTGTCAGGAGCAGATGACAAGGAGCGAGCGGTTAATTCCGGCGCAGACTGGACACGGGACGAGTTCATTTTCTGCTCGGAAAAAATGAAAAAAGAAAAAAGGACAAAAAAAAAAAAGGTTTAATCTGAAGTTTGGAGCAGAGAAACTCTGCCGAGCACAGAGCTGAGGAGGGTCCAACACCCGCTCCACAACACGGAGATGTTCCACACTGCAGCTTTACACTCGTCTGTCACATTTACTCAAAAACTTCTAATTTATGTTTCTATTGTTTTTATTTTTGGGGGGAAAAAAAGTCTCCCTCGTCTCGTGTCCCTCGTGAGTCTGTGGTCACATGACACGAGTCTCCGTCTCTTTTCTTCTGCTCGACTCGACTGTGCAAAGAACAATATGAAATGATTGTGTTTTCTTTACGTATTATTCAAGGTGCCAAAGGCTCCTGATGATCTCTGTCCAGGTCTGGACCTTTGGGTCTCTGTTCGTTCTGCAGGACACGTCTCCGACTGACGGCTTCACCTCCAGAGACTCAGAGCTCAGAGGAGGCAGATGTTCATGTCCCGTTTGTTCTACATCAGCAGATTCTGTGGGTCTGTGGGACTGTCCCTGTGGTCCAGGGTCTTCAGCAGGAGGGTTTCTGCAGCTCAGAGGTTCGACAGTCGTCGTGTCTCTGGACGAGCGTCGGGTCTGTGCCACTGACAGTCGAGCAGTTCAACACTCAGACTCTTCTGATCCTGTGGGTCGACCTGCTGAAGAGCATCAGGTTCCACCGCAGGAAACAGTTCTTTTTAGGAGTTGCCCTGAATTCGTTGACCATAACGGTCCGTCCTTCCACTCAGACGGTCGACAGTTTCATGGACGTGCAGTTGTTGAGCTGGATGTTTCTGTTGGTTTTCTACCTTCATCTCTCAGGGAAACTGAGCGCGGCCTCTGCTGTGGAGCCACTCCAGGTCTTTCTCTTTGTCCTGTGCAGATTTGACTGATGATCTGCATCTGGACGCAGCACAGTTCCTCCACAGGAACCGGAGACGTTCAGTGTCTCAGGTTCTTGTGGTGGACAGAACGTCTTGGATTGTTAAAGTCTGATCCTGTCAGATCTCAGAAGCTCAGCAGGTCTGGTCCTGGTCTGGACTTGGATGGAGACTCTGGGAACATCAGTTTCCACAGGAGGAGCCAGAGCAAAAACTGTGGTTGTGTCCTTAGGCAAGACACTTCACCACATTGTCTAGTATGAAAGTGGAGTGTGTGTGATGGTGGTGATTGCCTCTGTCAGTCTGCCCCAGGGCAGCTGTGGCTACAGCAGTAGTTTACATCAGCAGCTTTAGAGTGAATCAAGATGAATCAAGTTTTGTAAAGTGTCTGTGAAAAGTGTTTATAGAAATAAAGACTGACTTGGTTTGAGGGACGAGCTGCACAGACGCATCTCCAACAGGAACGGGCTGCAGCCTGGCAGGGACGGCAGGGACGGCAGGGACGGCAGGGACAGGGGACGGCAGGGACGGCAGGGACAGGGGACGGCAGGGACGGCAGGGACAGGGGACGGCACGGCAGGACAGGACGTGGTGTTCAGGCGTCAGTGAGGAGCACATCAATGTTCTGGAGCTGAGGACCGCGCGGCTGCATCTGAGTTTTTCCTCCTAAACCAGGACTAAACCAGGACTAAACCGGGTCTAAACCGGGTCTAAACCGGGACTAAACCGGGACTAAACCGGGACTAAACCGGGACTAAACCGGGACTAAACCAGGACTAAACCAGGACTAAACCGGGACTAAACCGGGTCTAAACCGGGACTAAACCAGGACTAAACCGGGACTAAACCGGGACTAAACCGGGTCTAAACCGGACTAAACCGGGACTAAACCGGGTCTAAACCGGGACTAAACCGGGACTAAACCGGGACTAAACCGGGACTAAACCGGGTCTAAACCGGGTCTAAACCGGGACTAAACCGGGACTAAACCGGGACTAAACCGGGTCTAAACCGGGTCTAAACCGGGACTAAACCGGGACTAAACCGGGACTAAACCGGGACTAAACCAGGTCTAAACCAGGACTAAACTAGGACTAAACCAGGTCTAAACCCGGTCCACAGATGAGGGTAAAACAGTTCAAAGTTGGTCGATAGATTCTTTTATTTCTTTTCACTTGAGGAATGTTTAAAAATTCCAACATAAAGCTTTATTTAAAGGCGTCAGTGCAAAAACAGGAGGAAAAGTGACGACAAAGAAAAATCCAAACTCAGATCATCGTCCGTAAAAATCCAGTGACGCTTCAGTTCGATTTGAGAAACAAAAACCATAAAAATCATCTTTAAAACCTTCACTGATCAACAGGAAATCAACTTTAAATAAAAACACACAACAGAGCAAAGGATCCTGGGAAATGGAGTCCTCTGTGGGACAAACAGATCTAAACCAGGACTAAACCAGGACTAAACCAGGTCTAAACCAGGACTAAACCAGGTCTAAACCAGGTCTAAACCAGGACTAAACCAGGTCTAAACCAGGACTAAACCAGGTCTAAACCAGGACTAAACGGTCTATTAAACCAGGTCTAAACCCAGGACTAAACCAGGACTAAAACAGGTCTAAACCAGGTCTAAAACAGGTCTAACCCAGGACTAAACCAGGTCTAAAAACAGGTCTAAACCAGGACTAAACCAGGACTAAACCAGGTCTAAAAACAGGTCTAAACCAGGACTAAACCAGGACTAAACCAGGTCTAAACCAGGTCTAACCCAGGACTAAACCAGGACTAAACCAGGTCTAAAAACAGGTCTAACCCAGGACTAAACCAGGACTAAACCAGGTCTAAAACAGGTCTAACCCAGGACTAAACCAGGACTAAACCAGGTCTAAAAAACCAGGTCTAACCCAGGTCTAAACCAGGACTAAAACCAGGTCTAAACCAGGACTAAACCAGGACTAAACCAGGTCTAAACCAGGACTAAACCAGGACTAAACCAGGACTAAATGATTTTGACCAGTTTGACCCAAAATTTGATCCAAAGTTTATCCCAAAGAGGACTTGGGGGGACTTGGTGGACTTGGGGGGACTTGGGGGACTTGGTGGACTTGGGGGACTTGGTGGACTTGGGGACTTGGGGGGACTTGGGGGTGTTGCCTTCTCTCTTCGATCATTAGCAACAAAAACAGATCAATTAAAAAAAAAAAAAACACGTTTGCCCGAAAACCGCACAGCAGGAAACCACGGCCGCCCCGGGGATTGTGGGTAGTGTAGTCCTTCAGAGCTGTGTGAGACTACAGCAGAGACACAGGGGACTGATTGGAGCAGAGACAGAGGAGGATTGTGGGTAGTGTAGTTCAGTCTGGAGTTTTGGGGTGGCGCTGCTCTTCTTCTTCTTCTTCTTCTTCGCTGCCGCCGCCGCAGCAGCAGGAGGGAGGCCAGGTGCATGGTGGGTAGTGTAGTCTATGAGATGGCCTTGGCTTCAGGTAAAAACGCCTCCCAGTATTTGATCATCTGCAAACAAACAAACAAACAAACAAACAAACAAACGCTTCAGTTCGATTTGAGAAACAAAAACCATAAAAATCATCTTTAAAACCTTCACTGATCAACAGGAAATCAACTTTAAATAAAAACACACAACAGAGCAAAGGATCCTGGGAAATGGAGTCCTCTGTGGGACAAACACAGATCTAAACCAGGACTAAACCAGGACTGAACCAGGTCTAACCCAGGACTGAACCAGGTCTAACCCAGGACTAAACCAGGACTGAACCAGGACTAAACCAGGACTAAACCAGGACTAAACCAGAATTAAACCAGGACTAAACCAGGTCTAACCAGGACTAAACCAGGACTGAACCAGGTCTGAACCAGGACTAAACCAGGACTGAACCAGGTCTAAACCAGGTCTAAACCAGGACTGAACCAGGACTAAACCAGGACTAAACCAGAATTAAACCAGGACTAAACCAGGTCTAAACCAGGACTAACCAGGACTGAACCAGGTCTGAACCAGGACTAAACCAGGACTAAACCAGGACTGAAACCAGGACTGAACCAGGACTAAACCAGGACTGAACCAGGACTAAACCAGGACTAAACCAGGACTGAACCAGGACTGAACTGAACCAGACTAACCAGGACTGAACCAGGACTAAAACACAGACTAAACCAGGACTAAACCAGGACTAAACCAGGACTAAACCAGGACTAAACCAGGACTAAACCAGGTCTGAACAGTGTCATTAGTGGAGTGTAAATATATTGACGGTGCAGTTGTTGAGTCGTTCTCCGCTGACGTGTGTCAGTCTGGTCCGTGGTTCTGGTAAAAGATGAGAAAAGTCTCTTGTTTCCATGGAAACGACGTCCTGGTCCAGGCTCGGACGAGTCTGGACTTTCATTCAAAGGCTCCAACTGGAGGAGACCAGAGTTTTTCTGATGCTCTGGACTGAACACAGCCTCAGGGTCAGGTCAGGGTCAGAGGTCAGGGTCAAGATCAGGGTCAGGGTCACAGGTCAGGGTCAGAGGTCAGGGTCAGAGGTCAGGGTCAGAGGTCAGAGGTTCTCACCTGTTGTTGTGAGTGCAGCAGAGTCTCCAAATATTTGACGATGGTTTCTTTAAAATCCTTCACTCTCTCCTTCTGCAAAAACACACGAGTCAAACGTGTCAGTCAGGTCACGACTCGAGTCACGGCTCTAAACTCGAGTCACGGCTCCGAGCTCGAGTCACGGCTCTAAACCCGAGTCACGGCTCCGAGCTCGAGTCACGGCTCTAAACCCGAGTCACGGCTCTAAACCCGAGTCACGGCTCTAAACCCGAGTCACGGCTCTAAACTCGAGTCACGGCTCTAAACTCGAGTCACGGCTCTAAACTCGAGTCACGCTCTAAACTCGAGTCACGCTCTAAACTCGAGTCACGGCTCTAAACTCGAGTCACGGCTCCAAGCTCGAGTCACGGCTCTAAACTCGAGTCACGGCTCTAAACTCGAGTCACGGCTCTAAACTCGAGTCACGGCTCCGAGCTCGAGTCACGGCTCTAAACTCGAGTCACGGCTCTAAACTCGAGTCACGGCTCGACTCGAGTCACGGCTCTAAACTCGAGTCACGGCTCTAAACTCGAGTCACGGCTCCAAGCTCGAGTCACGGCTCTAAACTCGAGTCACGGCTCTAAACTCGAGTCACGGCTCCAAGCTCGAGTCACGGCTCTAAACTCGAGTCACGGCTCTAAACTCGAGTCACGGCTCCAAACTCGAGTCACGGCTCCAAACTCGAGTCACGGCTCCAAACTCGAGTCACGGCTCTAAACTTGAGTCACGGCTCCACTTTCTCAAGCTTTGGTGAAAAAACCCCGTGACTTGAGTTTATGACTTGAGTTTGTTTCTCCAGATGGACGAGCGGCTGAACTTTGTGCAGGTTTTTTTGTTTTTGTTTCACGCATAAACTCGGTGAAACTTCTGCGTTGTTCTTCTCACCTCAAAACGTGACACTTCTTTCCTGATGGTTTTTGAAATCTGCTCGAAGTCTCTCTCGCCCTGAGACACTTTCAGCTCCAACTGCAACGAAAACACACAAACAACACACAAACAACACACAAACAACACACAATTAAACACACAATTAAACACAATTAAACACAATTAAACACAAATATAACGAGACACACAAACGATCACATGACGAATAATTATCCAACGACGGAGACGAAAACGACAAATCAGCTCCAACCGCAACAAGAACACACAAAATAAACCACAGATAATACTCCCTACAACTGCACAACTCAAATAATACTCCCTACGACCTCTTGTATAACAGATATTTATTTCTACATTTATATTTTTTATTTGTACATTTATTTATTTGACTCCAGTTTGTTATTTTTGCTGCTTATTTAGAATTTTTTTTTTAATCACATATTTTTTTATATTTTTTTCTTTATTATATTATAAAAAAAATTAGAATTTGACCTGTATTTAGTAAAATATGAAAACAAAAACACTAAAAGAGGGTCAGATTTTCGTGAACAAACATTTCTCTTACATATACGATAATGTTTTAAATTTTTATTTGGTTAGAACTATTTTATTTTTAAAAGTTCCAAATGTAAAAGTTAAATGTGTAAAATAAAGTTGAGCTGTAAGAGTTCACCGAGCTTCTGGTCTCAAATTACACCGAGAAATAAAAAGAAAAAAGAACAAACAAAAAAAAACACATAAAACAAACATTATAATAAATAAACAGAACTACAGCAGGAAGCACTGGGAATTAAAGCTCCATTACGTAACATTTCAGCCAAAAAAACAATAAAGACAAATGTAAACACTCTTATAACAGAACTATGGGTTTCTAGAACTGTAGAACCATTGTGTGTCAGGTCTGTGGAGAGGCGAGCGACGCTCACACATCCACAGATCCACGTTCTGAGTGTCGTTTCTTATTACCAGGCTGAAATGTTCCGCAGCGGGGCTTTAAAGGGGAGGATGAGAGCGGGGAAATGTGAAACGCAGAGAAAAACATCACAAAAAAAACCAAAACTGTGACATTTGAATCGAAACACAAAAAATATTAAAGTTTTTTTTTTGCAAATGAAAAGTGTGTTTGTGCTGAAGCCGTGCAGGTCCTACCTCCTCCAGCTCCTGTGGGACGCAGCCGCAGCAAAAACCAAACAAAAACCAGTCAAAATCCTACTCAAATCCCATTCAAATCCTATTCAAATCCACTCAAATCCAATTTAAATCCCATCCCATTCAAATCCTATTCAAATCCCATTAAAATCTGGTTAAAATCCCATTAAAATCCGATAAAAATCTAATTTAAATCCAATTAAAATCCCATTAAAATACCCAATCATAATCAAATTTAAATCCAATTAATATTCCATTAAAATCTACTTAAAATCCTATTAAAATCTACTTAAAATCCTATTAAAATCTACTTAAAATCTACTTAAAATCCTATTAAAATCCTATTAAAAAACAATTCAAATCAAATTTAAATTAAATTAAAATCAAATTTAAATTGAAATCCCATTAAAATCCAGTCATAATCAACATAAAATGGAATTAAAATTTAATAAAATCGAATGAAAAACAAAATAAAATGGAATTAAAATCCAGTTAAATCAGAGTAAAAGATCAAAACTTTAGACGCTGCAACATCAAATTTGAATTAATTTTGTGAGATAAAAAAATAAAAAATACAAATTAAATGATGACGTCATCAACAGGAGCAGTTTTTATTCTTTCTGAGCCAAACTCCATGGAAACGTCTTTACCTGGAAAGTCCTGGACATTTGAATTTAAATTATTATTTTTTTTTAAGTATAAAAGCATAAAACAGACGAGTCACAAAGTGTGTGTGCGGTTCCAGGTCAGATCTGTGGAGACGTGAGGGATTTTTACGCAACGAAACCATCAGTAAACGAAGAATCACTCCAAGAGATTAAAGCCGCACTGAGGAACATTCCAGGCAAAGCAGTGACGTCACCATGGAGACGAGCAGACGGCACCGACAGACTCTTCATCAAAAAAAGAAACATGTTTGTCACAAAACTAAAACAGTTTTTCGGGTTTGTCGTTCAGCGGCAGAACTTGAAATAAACCAGAGAATCTAATATCGACGTGAAAATAAACACAAAATAAACTTTACATGAAATATTGGAAACAGAGGTCAAAATCTGTTCTTTTTTGTTTGACACTAAAACAGAAAAATGAAATAAACTGTTTTCCCGTTTTCCTGTTTTTGGTTTTTATTGAAAGACAAAAGTATAAATGTTCCGCAGACACAACATCTGAAACGTTTCACTGACGTCTGAGACAAAAGTGTAAAAAGTGAAAGTGCAGACGGAGAGAGAGAGGGAGAGTCGTGCTGCGAGCCTGACAGAACACGCGCAGGGAAAACACACATGACAGCTTCAACTGGCCTAATAGAGAAGAGACAGAGAAGAGAGAGAGCGGCAGGGCAAAAAGTGGGAAAACTCCTAATGAAGAAGGCGCCACGCAGCAGGGCAAAAAGTGGGAAAAACAACAAAAAACTCAAAAACACAACGAATGAACGAATGAACGCTCGACTGAGTCTGACAGAGAGATGGAGAGATGGGGGGGAGGAGAGAGAGAGGCGTCCTGACAGAGAGAGAGAGAAGAGCGAGGGAGGGAGAGAGAGAGAGAGAGAGGCGTCCTGACAGAGAGAGAGAGAAGAGCGAGGGAGGGAGAGAGAGAGAGAGAGAGAGAGAGAGAGAGAGGCGTCCTGACACCTCAACAGACCAAAACAGAAAACAGACAGAGAAAGAGAAAGAGAGAAAAGAGAGAGACGGTCAGAGAAAGAAGAGAGAGAGAGACAAACAAAGAGAGAGAAAGGAGAAAACAGAGAGAGAGGAAAGAGAGAGACAGAGATAGAGAGACAAGAGAGAAAGACACAGAGAGAGAGTGAGAGAGAGAACAGAGGAAGAAAAGAAAGAGAAAGACAGAGAGAGAAAAGAGAGAGAAAAAAGGAAGAAATAGAGATAGAGAGAGACGAGAGAAAGGCACACGGAGAGAAAGAGAGACAGTCAGAGAAAGAAGAGAGAGAGAAGAGAGAGAGACAGAGAAAGACGAGAGAAATACAGAGAGAGAAAAGAGAGAGACAGACAGAGAGAGAGAAAGGAGAGAGAAAAGAGAGAAACAGAGATAGAGACAAGGGAGAAAGACACACACACACAGAGAGAGAGAGACAGTCAGAGAGAGAAGAGTGGAAGAAAAGAAAGAGAAAGACAGAGAGCGAAAAGAGAGAGAGGAAGAAAGACAGAGAGAAAAGAGAGAGACAAGAGAGAGACAGAGAGAGAGAGAAAAGAGAGAGAGAGAAAGAAGAGAGGGAGAAAAGAGAGAGAGAGAGACAGTCAGAGAGAAAACAGGAAGAAAAGAAAAAGAGAAAAACAGAGAGAGAGAAAGAAGAGAAGGAGAAAAGAGAGAGAGAAAGACAGAGAGAGAGAAAAGAGAAAGACACACACAGAGTGAGACAGAGAGAGACAGACTGAGAAGAGAGGGAGAAAAGAGAAAGACAGAGAGAGAGAGAAAAGAGAGAGAAGAGAGAGAGAGACAGTCAGAGAGAACAGAGGAAGAAAAGAAAGAGAGAGAAGGACAGAGAGGGACAGAGACAGAGAGAGAGAAGAGAGAGAGAGGGGAGAGTGGTGCTTGATTCTGAACGAGGAGGAAAAGGAAGAGTTGGAGGAGGAGAGAGACTCTGATCTTCTGAAAACCTGCAGTAGTTTTGCTCGTTCTCCCTGTGTCTGTCCTAACTCTCGGACGAGGACGAGGAAGACGAGGACGAGGAGCGAGCAGCGAGGAGGACGAGCGAGGAGGACGAGGAGCAGCGAGGAGGACGAGGAGGACGAGGAGCAGCGAGGAGGACGAGGAGGACGAGGAGCAGCGAGGAGGAGGAGGACGAGGACGAGGAGCAGCGAGGAGGACGAGGAGGATGAGGAGCAGTGAGGAGGACGAGGACGAGGAGGACGAGGAGCAGCGGGAGGGCATCCGGGCTAATGCAGCACGAGCACAGAAGAACGATCAGATGTGACTCTACGCTCACTTTTCTCTCCGTTTTTATTTAAAGATGAATAAACATAAATATGAAGTTTGTACAGGAGCTGGATGTAAAGTTTATTTATTTATTATTTAGAGTTTAATTTTTACTTCATGTTCACAGTTTATTTGATTCATTTGACGTTTTATTCGTCACAAAACTGCTCGAAGGTTCAGATTTATCGACGATATTTATTTTCAATTTGAAAGTTTAGCGTAAATTATCAATAATAAAGTGTTTTTGAGAGAGAGAAATGTTGAATAAAAACATCAAGTCACTGAAAAATAATGTTTTGAATAATCGTTATCATGATTTTTTTCCATAATCGAGCGGCTCTAGTTTGTGCCGATACCGATACCGGCACCAGGTATCGAAACAGATCCAGAACATTTTGCTGGAACAAATATTGGTCCTTTAATTTTCTGTTCCTTCTGTTACATGTTGTTCTTACATCTGTGCGAGATTGGAGGGTGGTGTACCTCCTTGAGTCAGTGTGAGGGTGGAGGTGGAGGTGGTGTGGTGTGAGGTGGTGTACCTCCTTGAGTCAGTGTGAGGGTGGAGGTGGTGTGGAGGGGTGGTGTACCTCCTTGAGTCAGTGTGAGGGTGGAGGTTGGAGGGTGGTGTACCTCCTTGAGTCAGTGTGAGGGTGGAGGTGGAGGGTGGAGGTTGGAGGGTGGTGTACCTCCTTGAGTCAGTGTGAGGGTGGAGGTGGAGGGTGGAGGTTGGAGGGTGGTGTACCTCCTTGAGTCACTTGAGTCAGTGTGAGGGTGGAGGTGGAGGTGGAGGGTGGAGGTTGGAGGGTGGTGTACCTCCTTGAGTCAGTGTGAGGGTGGAGGTGGAGGGTGGAGGTGTGGAGGGTGGAGGTGTACCTCCTTGAGTCAGTGTGAGGGGGTGGAGGTGGAGGTGGTGGAGGTTGGAGGGTGGTGTACCTCCTTGAGTCAGTGTGAGGGTGGAGGTGGGTGGAGGTGGAGGGTGGTGGAGGGAGGTGTGGAGAGGTGGTGGAGGTGGAGGGTGTGTACCTCCTTGAGTCAGTGTGAGGGTGGAGTGGAGGTGGAGGTGGAGGGTGGTGTACCTCCTTGAGTCAGTGTGAGGGTGGAGGTGGAGGGTGGTGTACCTCCTTGAGTCAGTGTGAGGGTGGAGGTGGAGAGGGGAGGGTGGTGTACCTCCTTGAGTCAGTGTGAGGTGGTGGAGGGTGGAGGTTGGAGGGTGGTGTAGGTTGTGGTGAGGTGGAGGGTGGAGGGTGGTGTACCTCCTTGAGTCAGTGTGAGGGTGGAGGTGGAGGGTGGAGGGTGGTGTACCTCCTTGAGTCAATGTGAGGGTGAGGTTGGA